TACCATTGTTATTATTATTATTATTATTATTATTATTATTATTATTATTATTATTTTATTATTATTGATAGTAGTAGTATTAGTACTATTATTGGTATTGTTATCATTGTGATTGTCATTATCATTACCACCCCTACCACTAAACACCACCACCAATCTACTATTATTACTGCAATTATTATCTCATGAATAGCTTTTTGGTTTGGCAATACCTCTTTCACATTGCAGGTGACATGGTGATTCTATCTTAAAATTGCTGAATCATGCTTTGTCAGCTAAGTTGTGAATGTAATGCATTTGTTTATTTTATTCCTTATCATTCAGTCATTTTAGATAAATTAAGCATTAACAAGTAGTGTTAATGCTAGAAAGAGGTTGTTGACTACCATGAGTTAGCATTTTACAAAAGAAGAAGAAAAACAAGTTGAATTGACAGAAGAACTACCAGTATGAAATTCATTCTTCTCCCTCCTCCTCCTCTTCCTCTGTCTTTGTCCCCATCTTTCTCTCCTCCTCCTATTTTTATTTTTTTTTTCTCCATACCATCCTTAACCATTTCTCCAACCATCCCCAACTCCCTTCCCGATTCCCCACCTCTTCCTCTTGTCCTCCCCTTGTCCTCAACACCTCCTTCCTTCCCCTTCTTTCCATGCTGTTCCTACCTCTTATCCTCCCACTCCTCCCATCTCCTTATCTCCTTCTCCTCCACCTCCAATGTCTCCCCTTTCCCTACCGTACACACCTCCTCCTTCCCCCAATTCCTCACCTCCTTCCCTCTTCCCTCAGTCTCATACCTCCCCTTCCCTTGTCCCCCTACTCTCTCACACCCCTTCCTCCTTACTGCTGTACCTCCCCCTTCTTCTTCACTCCCCACCTCCTCCTTCCCTGTCTTGCTTATTCCCCCGTCTGCAAACCTCCTCCCCCTCCTTTGGCCACCTCTAAACTGTTGACTTGGTATGGAATTGCGTGTTTGAGAAAGTTGGTGTTACTTAAGTTAATAATGGCATTCAGGAGGCCAGGATATTATGTTTCATTAGAGGGGAAGGAGACCTGTATTTGTTGCAGGGCTTCTTTCTACTGCAGGGATGGAGGAGTATGCAACTCACTCTGTAAGGCGCTGTGTGCATACACATATAGATTACATATTTGTTACTTTTGAGTGAGTGCTCTCTCGTTTTCTTTCAGTTAGTGATATTTGCCAGGAATGCAAGTCCACTTTTTTTTCTCTCTTTTTCTCTATTAGCAAAAGAGGATGTATGAAAGCCAGCAGTCCTCAGTGAGCTACAGGTTGGCACTGAGATCTTGATGCCAATGCCAGCTCCATATGAGAGTACCTGGCACAGGGCTCTGGGTCTTGGAGGCTTGCCAGGCATGTGATTCGAGACCTTGGGGTGGGTTAGAGTTGCCAATTTCATCAAAATTCTATTGCCTAAAGAGAGAGACAGGGAGGGAGGGAGGGGGGTATGAGTGAGTTGAGTGAGGGAGTGAGTGAGTGAGTGGAGTGAGTGAGTGAGTGAGTGGAGTGAGTGAGTGAGTGAGTGAAGTGAGTGAGTGAGTGAGTGAGTGAGTGAGAGTGAGGGAGTGGAGTGAGTGAGAGTGAGTGAGTGAGTGGAGTGAGGGAGTGAGTGGAGTGAGTGAGTGAGTGAGAGTGAGTGAGTGGGTGGGTGAGAGTGAGTGAGTGGGTGGGTGAGAGTGAGTGAGTGGGTGGGTGAGTGAGTGAGTGAGTGGGTAGGTGAGAGTGAGTGAGTGAGTGGGTGAGAGTGAGTGAGTGAGTGGGTGAGAGTGAGTGAGTGAGTGGGTGAGAGTGAGTGAGTGAGTGGGTGAGAGTGAGTGAGTGAGTGGGTGAGAGTGAGTGAGTGAGTGGGTGAGAGTGAGTGAGTGAGTGGTGTGAGAGTGAGTGAGTGAGGGTGAGAGTGAGTGAGTGAGTGGGTGAGAGTGAGTGAGTGAGTGGGTGAGAGTGAGTGAGTGAGTGGGTGAGAGTGAGTGAGTGAGTGGGTGAGAGTGAGTGAGTGAGTGGGTGAGAGTGAGTGAGTGGATGAGAGTGAGAGTGAGAGAGAGGAGGGGGGGTGAGTGTGAGAGAGTGAGAGTGAGTGAGTGTGTAAGACATTCAGGACCGTTTATTTAACTGATGATAGGAAAGTGGATTCATGCCGATTGGGTCCCATTCTGAGATGCATGGATTGAATGATAAGATTACACTGAAAGCTGATTAGGGCTGCTGTGGGAGTTTTTGGGAAATGCCCTTTATGAGTGCAGGTTGTTCTGCTTTCTCCTCCTCCTCCTCCTCGTCCTTTTATAATTTGCTCTAGTTGAAGCCAGACTGCTGCGTACTGAATATTACTATATTGCAGCTTGGGTTGCTTCAGCCTTAAGGGGGCGGGGGGGTGCTTATTTTTTACTTATTTTTCCCATTTATATCCAGCTGTGTTTATTTGGGTTTGCATTTATTAAAGTCTGTATGCAAATCTCTCTGATTATTTGCATACACTGCAGAATATGGACTGATTTGATAGTCAGAGGTCACTGTGAAATGGCATTTTCTTTTTTTTCTTCTTTTTTTTTCACTTATGTGAATGACTTTGCAGTGTTGAAGCCAAGTGTGTTTTAAACCTTTATAACTTGAGATAAAAGATGATTGATTACAAAAAAGCACTTGACTGATTGGAGATAATTGAAGACTGGACTTGAAAGGGAACATATATGCATGTCTATTTTTGTGTGTCTGCTCGTGTGTGTGAGTAACAGTTAATATTGGTTTTGCTGTTAGGTCTGATCTTGTATAAATGCTTTATTTATTATTGTTATTAGCTGATATTATGATTAATCAACATTGCCCACTATTGTTACTGTGTATTGCTATGATTACTGATTGTTTTTATTATTGTTATTATTGTGATTGTTGTAGCTGTAGGTATTATCATTATTGCTTTTGTCATCATCATTGTCATGATCATTGGTATTATTTATTTTCATGTTTATTATTGTTATTGTTATTATTTATTTTATTATTCTCTTATACTAATTATAATTATCATTATGGTTTTATCATTGCTATTATTACTTTTTTTGTTTTTTTTTTTGTTTTCGTTAAGTGCTTGTTATTGTTATTATCATTATCATTGCTGCTGCTGCAACTACAGCTACTGTGCCTACTCCTACTGATTTTTATTGCTAGTAGTCTATTTTTAGCAAAAACTAGGTGAAGAATCATTATCGACAATACTATTTCTTTTGTTGCTGCTATTCATTCATTATACATACTATTTCCATATCTTATCATCATTATTGTTATTGTTATTGATGCTATTGCTATTTTATTATTGCTGTCAGGATTCTCAAAATCCACATAGTCATTGGCACTATTATTATAATCATTATCATTGTTATTATAAATGTTTTAATTGAATTTACAGCGTCTCTTCTTGTGAGGTATCAAAGTAGTTATTTTAAACTTTATTATTTTGGTAATTGCTGATGAATAGAAAATGTTTAAGAAAACACTCAATGATGATATTCATTTGTATTTTAACTTATTTACTTACACATGTGAAACACAATGCTTTTGAAACTTTCATTATAGAAAAGAAATGCAGTTCATTGGCATCTGAGTATGTTGTCACTGATAAATGTAAAGTAAAATTTATATCTTACGAGAATCTAATAATAACAAGTGTTCATAAAATGCCAGTATGATTGTATGGCCAAATGATATTATGTCTGTGATGTTTAGTTGATTTCTTGTTTATCCCTAATAGAAATTGTATTGATTTCCAAAGGTGGATTACAGTGATGTGAAATATTTTATTTAGCATGATATGTTAATATTTCATGCTAGATGTGTTATTTAGTAGGGTATGTAATTAAAGAACAACTGCAAAAGTTTAGGAGCTGAGTTGACAGGCGCGTAGATGAATATCCTACCTTGAAATTACCATAACTACGATGTATTATCCTAATATGGTGCTATTATCATTGTTGCTATTAGCTACTAGCTAGTGTTTCTAATGATGTTCGTTTGTACATTCACAGAAAATGTTGATATTCTGTTTTCAAGTTATTTAATCCATTGGATTTAGGTGACATGGCCATCGCATCATCAAAAATTGGCTGAGGGTTGGGGGACAGGAATGTGCAGTTGAGAAAAATTCAGCTGAAGGCCAGGATGACAGATATGACTCGCCACAAGTGCATAAAGCTTTTAGAAGATAATGAACACGGTGGACATTTAGTAAAGGGCTTGTGCATTATTTCCACCAGTAAACAGAAGGGGATTGTACCATACGTGAGCCATGGCTAGAAGAGCATTGTGTCTAGGGAGGTCTGGTTCAATTCTGAGGATCCTATTCCTGCCAGCCTCGTCAGTTGGTGTAAAGTCTATTACAGAAAATTGAATATGAAAATCTTAAAAAAAAAAAAAGACATAAACAACAAAATGTTACTTGTTGCTATTGCACAGAGTTCTAGACTATCTTTAGCAGTGGTTCCCAACCTTTTTCATTCTGTGGTCTCCAACCAGTATATGATAATCGCCCCATTCAGTGACTGTCATCTTTCCAGATTGTTATTACTAGTTATAAATAGTGTAAAGGTGTTAAAAGCTAGCCTGTAGGACAAGAACACTTTATGGGAAGATTCCAAAATGTTGAGTATACGTATGTACTATAGGTTAGGTGAGATGAAATTCAGTTTAATTCGACGTCAAAATTTTCACGGAAAAAGAGCAAGAAAATACTTGTGCGGAAAGAGATAACTTTGCAAAAGGAAGGCAAAGAGTCTTGACATTGCATGCAAGTGTTCGTTTGGGCTAGGCCTACAAGCCACACAGTAGTGAGAGTCAGATTTTAGGCAAGGTGCAAAGAGCGTGGAACATGGTTCAAGTGGGTTAATGTTTTAAGGACAGTTTATAAAAGGCCTCAATTTTCCTCTTATGCTTTTTAAATGTTCCTTTTACATTTGCAGTAGTGAGGCTGATTCTAAAAAGAAATATTCTCTTTCAACAGTTAACCCCAGGCTCGGAGTTCAGCAGCAGGGATGGCGGAGGCTCACTCTGCCGTGGCATTCTCGTTTGCCATCACTCACGAGGGTGTTCACGTCAACTACGATCGGGAAGTGCTACATGTCATCTGGCACTCGGGTGTTCGTTCATGGAGACGCAGCATCCGGCGTGTTGTGGTGAGCGTTTTAAGTTTGTTGTTTTGGTAGCTTGTCCAATGATAAGGTGGACTGCAACTTTGGTTTTACAATTCTGCATGAAGCTCATAGAAACCTCTTGAGAAATTGAGCATTGTACAGGTTTAGAAGCATATTCTTTTGATGTATTCTGTCTGTCTCTCTGTCTCTCTGTCTCTCTCTCTCTCTCTCTCTTCGTCTCTCTTCTCTCTCTTCTCTCTCTCTCTCTTCTCTTCTCTCTCTCTCTCTTCTCTCTCTCTCTCCTCTTCTCCTTCTCTCTCTCTAGTCCTCTATCTCTGCTCGCTCCCTCTCTATCTATCTCTCCTCTCTATCTATCTCTCTCCTCTCTATCTATCTCCCTCTCTATCTAATATCTCTCCTCTCTATCTATCTCTTCCTCTCTATCTATCCTTCCCCTCTCTATCTATCTCTCCCCTCTCTATCTATCTCTCCTCTCTATC